AGTGTTTCTGTTATACATTGTAGGAACACAATATTTGTGCTGCAGTATTGATGTCAGTACAAAATAGTTTGCAAATAATACAGCAATGCAGTGTCAGTTTAACTCAAATAATTGAACTGTTCAGCTGAGCTACACCAAACCCGTGTGTCCCTGAGTTAAGCACTTTCTTTGGTGATGTGCTGTGGTGAAAGGCTTTTCAAACTGTGTGGCTCTTTAACCTTCTGCTACTCACTGAGCCTGATTCTCTTTGGTGAGTGACTGGAGTGATTTTACTTATCCTGGTGTAATTCTGGAAGGGGAGGACAGTTTTACGTCTGTGATCTAATCCTAAACTGCTCAAGGACCCAAGCTCAACAATGAATTTGTATAGATAATGAATGATAGGAATAGATTATTAAGCACTTTTTTGGTGCATCCAAAGGAGGGGGAGAAAAATCTCTGTAACTCAAAGCAAACATAGCAATGTTCTGACAAATGTATTTGCACACACTGAGTAAAATGCAAATATCTTTCAATAAAGTAGAGATACATATCTGTGTATATATATATATATATATATAAATATGTATTCATTCAGGTCTGAAATGCAGAATTTACTAAAATCACAAATATGCCTAAATCCTTGATTTAAAAACTCAGGCATTGACTAAATAAGTCAAAACATGATATTTGGAAACTGAACATATGGCCCTTACTCTGATCACTGACAATGCAAATCTCATCCCTGTTTCTGCCTCCGCATCCTTTTATCCTCCAACCATCTCTACCATCTCTAGCCCTTGAATTCTTGTTCCCTGTCCATGCCACACTTCGTTTCACTTTCTCTGTGTCCCACTTGCCACTGTCCCCACACTTCTGTCCCTCAGTTGTCTGTGAGAGCCTCGACCCAGGGATGGTGTTGATTTAATGCAGGAGAAAATATAGCAAATAGTTACAATGCTATTGGGTATGAATAGAATTGAGGGCGAGAAGTGATTTGCTTTTTTAGCTGCTCTTGGCAATATCTCCTAAATTTTTAATTTTCTTTCGGTTGAATGGGAGGAAATGCTTTTTTTTGTCTTTTAATGCAACCGTGTCTTCTTCTCTGGGGGCTTTTGAGTTGGTTTTCCCTTTTTAAAGTTATTATTTTATTAGTGAGTAAACTGACCATTGAAAAGGATGGTTGCATCAGGATCCCTTAAAGGCACACAGTCAAACCTGAGGCCAGCTGAAACTTGGCTCTTCACTTTCCCCCACCCCTCCAGGTCGTAGGTGTTTCAGGGGGTCACCAGAAAAGCCCAGAAAGACTTAGGCAGAGGAGAGATTCAGAGTTATCTTTGACTTTTATGGACCTTTTTTTATTAAAATGCTTAGTGCCGTAAATGTAGAAATAAGGAACTCGTTTATCTTGACAAAAGTGCTGCCATAAACTATTCAGCACTCATAAAATAACCTTTTAAATTATTGTTTCTGCTGGTATCGATAAATTCATACAAAGTGCTTAAAGGTCAGGCATTGCCAGAAAAATGTCTTTTCAGCTTGTTAATTAAAGGTTTATAAGAATGTGCACCTACTTGCTCTTCGGGCAAATTGGAAAAAGAGGAAGGAGCAAAAAAATAGGCCCACAATGATGAGAATGATAGTGTGGAATTAGTGTGTGACAAGTCTGTGATCCACCAGGCTCAGCAGGGCAAGCCTGGACGGTCTGGGAGGGAAAACAGGGTGGCACTGGGAAGAGGAGGAGCAGAAGCTCGTTTTCCTTTTTGGTGGGGAGGTGTCTTGATTCTTCCCCTCCCTGCAGGCCAGGGAGTGTGAGCAGTGTTGGACCTGTCACAGCTTGAGCCATGGGGAGTTTGTCCAGCCTGGCCAAGGACATCAGATAAGGACCTTAACTTTTATATTTGCCAGGCTCTGCTTGTTTATTTGCCACTTGAAGTGGAACAAAGCAGTGCAAAATGTACCCAGAGCCAAACTGCCCAACCACCCTTCTGGCAGCTGCACCCCCTTCATTGCAGAGCCCACAGCTGGGATTCCCTGCTTTGTACTTTACCATCCTCATGGAGACATCCTGCTCTGTCCTTAAAACCACGTCCTGAAGGTGAGGTGGCTCGGATGGAGCTCTCCATGCCCAGATGAGGTGAGGTTAATCCATCCCACGGATGAGACACTGGAAGTCTGGCTTGGATTTTCACCTGCACAGCAGTGTAGCCCTGGCAACATTATTTGACCTCTAAATCCAGATTTTTTTGATCACTAAAGTGGAGACAGGAATACTGACCTAGGCAAAGTATCCTGAGATAACAGATGAAATGTGTTACAGGGAAAGTACAGAGGCTTCTGTCATTGAATCCTGATGATTTAACAGCTTCAACTATTTATTGCCCAAGCTGGGAAACAATAGCAAAACAATGTAAATTGTGAAAAGTAAAATAGATGCTCAGATATCTCCCTGTCTGAACACACTATAGTGCCATTATTAATGTGAGATTAAAGTTTTGAATTTTCCCTTGGTCATATAATTTCTATACTGAGATTGTTTCCTTGAATATTAAATAACAGATCCTTTCTATAAAACCATTTGTGAACAGGAGGCTGCATCTTTGTCACTGAAAATTTCATAACCTAAGAGAGGCATAATTTGTTTCTGTTCTCTCGAGATCACTGCAGAACTCCTACTTCAGGAAAATAAATCTGTTGAATTTTTGAGAGTGCAGGTGACAGGGCTAATGGTGGTTCTTTTCTCTGATACCCACTGACAATTCATCCTGGCTTTGCCTTCAAGTGAAGCTGAGAGAACAGGGCAGTAGTTTCATGGTGTTTCTTGTTTCTTCTCTCCTTCCCACCTCATTTGGCTCAATTGTTTTGAAACTTAAGCCAGAACTAACCCGGGGTGCCCTCAGAGGCCGAGATGAGCTCCCTCCTCCCAGGGCAGAGGCATTCTGTTCTACAAGGGGTTGATTGGCTCTTTTCCTTGCAATTGACCTTTGAAATAGTACAAGAAAAGAGATTTGTTGCTCAGACATGGAGTTTTTGTGCATCTTATCAATTGATAACTGTTACTTATCCCACTGCTCAGTAATTTGATTCTTATCTTTATAATCAGTTCCCAGTTTCACTGTCAGCACTTTGTTATTTTAATCGGATCACAGAGTCATTAAGGTTGGAAAAGACCTCCAAGATCATCAAGTCCAACCTCTGACCTAACACATCATGTATTATGTTGTGCAGTTAGAAAATCCTTGCCAATCCACATGTACCTGGAATAGAAATATCAGGATGTGTGTTTGTGGGGTTGGAGGCAGCAGACACCCTTAAGGCACAACCTTCCAGAGGGAAGGACTTGTTTTAACTCTCTGCAGAGGGGGTGTGTGCAGCCCAGGAGAGGCTGTGGTGCCCCTGATTCAGGTTTCCAGGTAAACCTCGGGCTCCAAACTGTGTGGGGAAAGAAATCTCATTTGGGACAGTAGGAAAATACAGATCAGACTTGTGGTAAACTTTCTGTTCCTCTAGCATGGGTTGGAAAGTTCACTTTGGTATTCACCTTAAGAAAATATGTCTTGCCTGTTTATAGCTGTTCAGCCCTCCTTGATGTTTAACTCAGGCAAATCTTAGGCAAATGCTAATCTTTGCTGAATATGTAACATCACACCCCCAAATGTCTCTGAGAGGAGTAGCAGAGTTAAAAATATAAACTCTGCAGGACAACTTCATTACAAATATTCTGCCTGAAAATACTGGGTATTCTTATCAGTCTTTTACCACTTAGTGGGTGAGGTCTGAGAAGAACAAATCGACATGGACGTGACACAGTTTCACTTTCCTTGAGCTTCTATTGACAAATTTCATTAGCAGATTGGGGTAATATTAACATACTTTATTTACTGGCCGTGATCCAAAACTCTTGTTTTGAGCTGAGTTAAATTTAGAGCAACTGAGTTGGGTCTGTTCTTTTTTCCTTATTAGCTGTTTTTAGCAGCCTGGTGAGTTTTTGTGAGCGGTGACTAAGTGTCTCTTGCTGTTATGATGACAATCATCTGCTTGCTTATGCTGCCAGTGTTGTCCCAACAGCAATAAAGAAACACTAGATAGAAGTTATAAAGCCTTGCCTTGAGAACATTGGCCAGTTAACCAAAATATGAACTTTTGGGTTGAAGCTGTGGCTGCCCCAGCCCTGGAAGTGCCAAAGGCGAGGCTGGACAGGGCTTGGAGCAACCTGGGCTAGTGGAAGGTGTCCCTGCCCATGGCAGGGGAATTTGGAACTAGATGATCTTTAAGGTCCCTTCCAACCCAAACCCCTCAGTGATTCTATGAATTGTAATCAGGGATGAAAGAATGGAAGAGGTTGAAGGGGAAAAGTTACCTGTGTTCTTTACACTCATGGCACAGTGTTAAATTTATAAGCTATCAGTTTATTCTATCCTATCTTAAATAAGCTTTGAATAAATTTGTTAGACAAATAAATTTGTTACTCTCACCTTAGAGAAGGGTGAGTAGTAAAAATAAACATGGCTAGTAATAGCTGCTGTTTTGGCCCCAAAGGGTGTCATTTTAGCTGAATGTTGTGTTGCATTGTGTTGTAGTAGATTTATAGGTAATAATTCAGTGTTTACCAACGCCCAGCAAACTTCTCCTTGTGACCCTGGCTACCATGACATGCATCATCTTCCCAATGCACGTGTTGGGGTTTCACTGGGGGGCATTTCAGGGGTCTTTTGAACACAAGTTGGTGCCTGGAGAGCCTTCAGCTGTGGCAGCTGGGAAGGGACAAAGAGCTGGAAGGGAACTGCTGAGTCGAAAAGATTCTGTCTGGGAAAGTTCTGCAACTGTTTTAAGCTCTGTTCCCCTATTCTAAGGTGTCCTCACCTGTTCTAAGCTGTGCTCACCTGTTCTAAGCTATGTTCACCTGTTCTAAGCTGTGCTCACCTGTTCTAAGCTCTGTTTGCCTGTTCTAAGCTGTGCTTACCTGTTCTAAGCTGTGCTCACCTGTTCTAAGCTGTGTTCACCTGTTTTTCTTCCAACAGACTTTGGGAACTATCACTGCAGTGCCCATTAAGGTTCCTCAGGTCAGCTCCTTGCAGAGGTTGGCAGGACAAGGACCAGCAGTGCTACCTCAGGTACAAAATACAGTTTCAGAGGGGGTTTTTGTGTAATTTTTTTATGTGTTCTGCTCTGCTCCTGTCTGATGCCCAGGCCTGGGTATGTCAGCACACTCATTTTGCTGGGTAAAGACTCACCTTTAGTGAGTTGAGCAGCAGAATTGTGTTTTTCTTCAATCTATTAAAAAAAAAAAAAAGATTTTCTTCTGGGAGTGTGTGTTAGCACAATGAAAAGCTGTAAAAATTGTGTGGATTCATTGTGGAAGAACAAAGTACAGACGGTGGGATGTGAATTTATGCTTTATAAGATAACAGAAGTGAAAATCTGCAATCCTGTAGTCAAAAAAACGTGGTGAAAGTATTTAACCTGTCTGTTGAAGATTTAGCCTGACATACTCCTTATTGACTTACTTGTCTTATCCCTGTCCATCCCAGTACAAAGTTTTGGCCCAGCTAAACCAGGTGCCACACTGAGGCCAGATTCTCTGGGTAAGACTGAAAGGAGAGTTACACTCATGGGTTTTTAAAACGTGTCTGCTTTCCTGAACACCCATCCCTGTTTCTATAACCATATACTTTATACCCCATTTCAACCCTCTTTCTGAAATTTTTTTGATGTCATTTTCAACACAGGTTTTTCTGCAGTTCCCTGGTTTGCTTTTCAGATTAATGATTATTAAGTATAAATATATTTCTCCCAGTGTGGCCCTTATTTCTCATATATGAACACTTTTCTAGTGTTTAAGTCGATTTTGTGTGTGTTCTTCCTTTTCTTACTTTGCTTTTTTCCTAGTATTTTCTTAGTGGTAGAATCTAGTAGAAGATCTGGGAGCTAAATCTGCCTGGAGGAAGAAGTATTTCCAAGATAAAGTTCTTAAATTCTCTCTTTAAATTACATTTTGTGGAAGGCAGAGCTGCGAACATAAAGAGAGGTTATAGTTTTCTTATCAAGTTCAAGGCTTTGCTTTTCAGTTGTTCTCACAGCACAATAACTTTTTGATTTCTGCCATTTTGGGGTGGCAAAGATGAGCAGATTGCTCCTGAAAACAGATGAGGTTCAAGAGCAGCTGAAAGACCTGTAACAGGGGCCTAAATTATCATTAAGGTTGTGGTTCAGCAATGATGGCATTGCAAATGCTGCTCTCAGAGGAGTGTCAATGTTCTGGACTTTCATTAAGTAGGAGAATTTTCATTCCATGCTAGGTTCAATTTTGAAGAATTGGAAAAAGGGGAGGAAGCTGATATGCTCAGCTTTTAGAAAAGAGCACATCCTTTCCATCTTGCTGTTTAGCTCATGGCAATATTTTGGGTTGTGTGTCACTTTGTTTCCCTCCCCTCCTGAGCCCTGTTTATGCAATGGTGCTTCACACTACTGAAACCCCAGCACTTCCTTGGCTGCCCTCAGCCAGAGCTCACCACATCTTCTGTTTGGTGAATATTTCACATATCTGCTGTGGGAAATGACCACAGAGCAAACTCATTTCTGCCAAAACTGCTGGTGGAATGGGCAGCTGGATGTCAGACCACTTTATCAGGGGTGTGTCTCATGCTCTGAGTTTTTCCTGGCTTTTTCACAGGCCAATACCTCAGCAACAGCCTGTCCTGTTTACAGGCCACTTCTTCATAGTCTGTGTGTTCCTCTCCCACTCCAAGCTTACATGGAAGTTTAAAATTCCCATATTGTTTCCTAGTGGGGACCTCCCTCCACCCATCAAAGCTTTCTGCCTGGTGTCTTCAGAGAGATCAGGTTTTCATCTACAAGTGGAAAGTTTGGCTTCTAACTAAGTAGTCAATATACCTTAAAGATATATTGAATATAGCCATGGATCAGAGGGCTGTGGAGCTGTCATTCCCCAGGAACAGCTGGATACAGGTGAGCTGGCAGGCTGTTACAAGTGAAGTGCAGCACTGTGTCCCTGTCAGCACTGTCCTTTGTCAGAGCTGGGAGGTGAGTGCACAGTCATCTCTGGCAAATTTGGAGGATCAATAGGAATTTCTGGTCCAGGAGAACTGGAAACTTCAGATGGAAGTATAAAAATGCCAGGAAACAAGGCCATGTAATACCATGAAGGTGTTATGGTCAAGAACATCTCTTCCTTCTCCCTCACAGCTTCGAGAAAACAAGCACCAAATTAAAAATCCTTTTGGAAATTAAGGGGTGTGTATCATCTTCCAGTAGGAGCTGGGAATTGTGCACAATTAAACCTGTCAAACACTGCCATGCTGGCTGGACAGAAAGAGGGGACTCCTCCACTTCAGGGCCCCTCATCAGATCTGAAGGAGTTTTGTAGTTTTGATGCTTTTATTCTCCTCAGCTCGACAGCCTCTTCTGATTGACTCCTATGCACTCGAGCAAAAACATCCCACACAAGTAAACTGAGGCACTTAACAATACTTACATAAAATACTGCAGACAGCTCCCTCATTTTCCACATTTGTACAGATACTTGTCATTTGTTTGGTTCATTTGAATGGGTTTATGATATGACCCCCTGGGAGCTCTTCCATATGGGGAATGAAGTTTCAAAATCTGCACATTCACAAATGGCAGCAAAATCCCATCACTTAGTGCAGAACAGCTATTAAATGGTGAGCAAACAAACATTAATTACAAGTTCATTGCACAATACAAACAATATTTCTTTAGGCATTCATTATTTGCCAAAACAAGCCTCTTTGGCAGACCTTTGTTCTTTTCTCTTTTCTTAATTTATTTTTCTTAGAGAAAATGAAGTTCTTTTTGCTTCCATCAAAGAAATAAAATTTCTGCTATGAGCTGTGATGTTTGGGAAGTTAATTCCAGATAGTCTTTCTCTTCTTACTTTGGCCTTTGAGGTTTCCAGCTGGGTGAGAGGCTGTGAAACTGCAGACTCTTGACTGCACTCTGAGGAGGAAACCCTGGAGGTCCTCTGCTCAAACACTGGTTTTTTTTGAGCTCTTCCTCTGCTTTATGGCACCCACCAGCTCTAAGCAGTATGTAACTGGTTTACATGCAAGTTTAAGTTGCACTGTAGCCACCTGAAGGCTCATGGGGAATCTTATTTTCTGTTCTTCAGCTGGGAGGTTTTAAATGAAACGGTGAAGGTGTTAAAATAAACCTCCCGTTTTGTTGTCAGTAATTTGGGCCCAGTCCAATTCTCGTTCAAATTAGTGGAGAGACCTTGATGCTTTGAATAGCAGTGAAATCAGATTATAATGCTGTTTCCCTGACCTATTTTTCCAGTCCTGGCTGAAGGCAGGGCTTGGGATGGCTTTGCCCGTGGCACTGCTGGCTAGAGCAGAGCAGAGCTGTGTGGCAGTGCCTGCACTGGGGCTGTCACACACTCAGTGGGGAAAACAAACAGGGACACACAGAGCTTTAGGTGAAATGTGTGGGTTTCAGTCAACTCTTCCCAGTTCTGCTCTCAGAGGCTTCCTATATTCTATCTCTGCAGTGACTTTGGTGTGTGTAGTTCAGTGGGGTCTGGATTTGGTCGCTGGGCTGCAGAGCTGCCGTGGGACGGTGCTGTTGTGTTACCATGTGTTTGCTCTTCACTGGGTTCTGGGAGCCTCCAGATGTTCCCAAAACTTAAAAACACATTCCCATTTTAAACTTTCATCTTGTAGTTCTCATGAGCATATTTGCACTGGTAGCTGTTGCTTCCCCTCACGTGTGAACCAAAGCCAGCCACTGCTCTCGGCTCCCTCGGTGATGGATGTTCTTCCTCCCTTCTGGAAGCTTTCTTGCAAGGAAAACACCTCCTATAGACAGAACCCAACTTTTGGGATGCCACTGTGTACTGTAGAAGAAATGTGGTCTAAGGCAAAGCCTCCTTCTGTTTGCAAAAAAAAAATAAAACCCCATTATTTTTAAGTGTAATGGGTTAAAACTGTACATAGCCATTGGAAAGTGGAAAAGCAGTACTAAATGCAAGTCAGCCTTTTGTGAAACTGAAAAAGAAGCCAGCAGGCATACATGTTTGTATAAAAAGTTACATAGAATTGTGCAATGGGGAGACAAGAGCACTTTATTGTTTGTTTGAATAAGGAATAATTGAATCGGGTGAAGTTGTTATTCCAGTGTCAGAGGGGGAAAGGACTATAATCCCCTATGGGGTGTTGTGCACCTTCCTGGTGTATAACCCTCAGTGCTTCCAGGGGAACGTGTTGGAATGCTGGTGGAAGAGAAGAGAGAGAATCTAATTCAGGGTAACTTAATCAGCGTGGCATATAACCAGGCTAAGGGGTTTGCAGCAGTATTTAATATTCATTGACTGTGTGCATGCGGAAAACATAAGCAAAATTGCTTTTTCAAATAGGTTTGCAGAGGCCTGGCTGAAAATGTAGCCCTTAATAAATATAGTTGTTAATCTGTTTTATTCCATGAAAGCTTTTATATTCTGCTTGTCACTGTATTTGAAACACCTTCCAGTTAATGTTAAGCACAAAGATTAACATCTGTTGGGAGCTATTTCTTCTCTCCTCCTTTCCCTTTCTGAGGAAGGAGCTGAGAGTTCTGGTTAGGATTCCTTTTTACCAGTTTGCTTGTTTTTAGTGGTCATGCTACTATTAATTGCATGCCACTGTATGTTGCTGTCAGAAGACTAGACACAGAAAACATTTGGTGTAGAAAGAGTTGAGGTTTGTGCTCTTAATTCTTAGAGAAGAAGGTTGAGACAGCTGACTCAGCCTTGCTGTAGGGACTCCCTGCACCAGGGAGTGGGGCCATAAGGACATTCCTTGAGGATGGTGGTATGGCAGAGCTTGGCAGTGACCAGAAATCTGGTCTTCTGCAGTATGGTCAAAGATGGACCTGTAGGGTCTACACCCAGATGCACATTTTCCAAAGTTTCCCTTTTTTCCCCCTCACCTTCCTGAGTGTCAGTTTTCTGTTCTAATGAGGGAAGTGATCCAAAGGCAGAACTGTCTGTTGCTGATACTTCAAACCTTCAGATCCAATCAGTGTTGTGAGCACTTTGAAGAGGACCTTGGTGAAGTCAGATCTCCTGATAGCACATGGAATCCTAAAGTATCCACAG